CATGTCTGTTAAGATTTGTCTTATATAGTTTGGTGCTCTGATATTTGGTGCATACATGTTTATGATTGTTATCTCTTCCTATTGCAGTTTTCCCCTAACAAGTATGTAGTGACTTTATCTCTTTTGATTGTTCTCAATTTGAAGTTTACATTGTCTGCAAACTTAATAGTTACACCTGCTTTTTTCTGGGTTCCTGTTACGTGGAGACTTGTTTTCTATCCTTTGACTTTCAGTCTACAGATTTCCTTCTGAGTAAAATGTGTTTCCTGCATACAGCATATTGTGCGATTTTGTTTCTTCATCCACTCTGCCAGTGTTTCTTTTGACTGGTGAATTAAGGCCATTTACATTTATGGTTATAACTGATATGTGTTGGCTTATCATTGTCATGTTATTTACTTGCTGTTGGTTTCCTACTTTTTCTACCTGTTTAATTGCTTGCTCTGCTTGAGGGTTCCTTTCTATTGTTCTTCTTGAAATTATGGTCAGTTTTTTCTTTGTCTTGAACTTCTTTTAGCACTCTTTGTAAGGATGGCTTGGCACTCCTGAAGTTCTTCAGTTGTTCTTTGTCGTGGAAATATTTTATTTCACTGTTAAATTTGAAGGATAGTTTGGCAGGATACATCAGTCTTGGTTGGAAGCTGTTTTGTCTCAGGACCTGTAATACTTTGCTCCAATCTTTTCTCAACTGCATGATTTGTGTTGAGAAGTCTGCCATGATTCTGATGGGGTTTCCTTTTACAGGTGATCTGTTTCTTTTCTCTAGCAGCTTTTAATATTGTGTTGTGTTGTTGGAGATCTGGGATCATTTTTTGTTTGTTAGTTTTGTTTTCCAGTACTGGGAACCGAACTCACGACCTTGCGCTTGCCAGGCAGGCTCTGTGCCACTGAGCTAAATCCCCAGCCCCGTGGGATCTTGATTATTATATGTCTGGGTGTAGTTTTATTTTGGTTATGACTAGTTGGCGTTCTATGTGCTTCATTTACCTGCATATCAGATTTTGTTTCCATGTTTGGGAAATTTTCCGCTATTATTTCTGCAAATATTCTTTTTATGTCATTTGTGCTGCCTCCTGCTGTTTCATTGACTCCTATTAGTCTTACATTATTCCTCTTTGCCTCATCTTGCAGCTGTTGAATTGATTTTTTCTGGTTCCTTGTTGAGTTTAAGAGATCCTTTCTTTCATGATCACTAGCTGCCATGCTGTCTTCAAGATCTGAAATTCTATCTTCGGCTTCATTCAAGCAGTTTTGCCAGCTTTCTATGTAAGTTTTAATTTTCTGGATATCTCTTTGAATCTGTTTCATGCATTCTAGTTCATTCCTATATTGTTCATTTAATATTTCCATCTGTTGCCTACGTTCATCTATTTTTTCATATATTTCTTCTTTAGATGTGCTGAGCAATTCTTTCATTCTTATTGTCATTTCATTTTTTTCCCTGAGAGATTATTTCTGATCTGATCTCTTCTATGGGCTGATGGAGTTGTTTCTTTACTTCCATTGCACCCATCTCAGCAATTTCAGGTAAGTGTTTACCAAGTTCTCCTATGTCAATGTCTCCTGGACTTGTTCTGAGTGGGGTGGAGTTCTGAGATTGCATTTTAGTACTTCGTCTTGTCATGTTTGATGCCCGAGGCAGAACACTCAGTCTCCGTCTTCCCTGGCAGCTCAGAAAAGGTCACTTGTGTCCCTAGTTTTCCCGGTGGTCAGGCTTGCCCCTCAGTGTCTGCTGAGATGTGCTTCTTAGTCTGGGGTCTTCTGGCAGATGGCAAAGTGTATCTAGTTCTTCCAGGTCTCAGACGCAAACTGTGATGTCAGCCAATGGCAGACTGTCTGATCCAGTGTCCCCTCACAGCTCAGGGCACGTGTATGACCCAGAAGCATGCTGTACTGGTGGTGCAATCATGGACCAGTGGTCCGGTGTCCCCAGGCAGTTCAGGGCATAGGCAGAACCCAGACAGGAATCGCAGGATCAACAGTTCATGGACCACCTGATTCTGCATTTCTAGGCAGCTCAGGGATCGCAGAGAAGCCAGACATGGGCTGCACTGGTGGTGATCATGGACTGCCTGTGTCTGTGACCTCTAGGAGGTCAGGGCAGAAGTAAAGCCCAGAGGCAAACCGTGGTGCCAGCAGCTCATGGGCTGCCTACTCTAGTACTTCAGGCGGTGCAGGGCATGTGCAGGGAGGGCCCAAACATGAATCCTGATGTTTTCCATGCTAATTCCTTTCCCCTATTCCATGGGGCTTTATGGAACAAAGGTTTTGTCAAACTTGAGCGCACATCATCCTATCTTAACATGTAACTGTGTGAACTTAACCTATTCTTCTCCATAGCAGGAAAATCAGCAACAATCTGTGATAGTTAAACATCTTCCCAAAGTGAAGCTGAAGCCTAAAACCAACCTAGAACCAAATAAGCAACAAATGGGAGAAACAAAAATAAGAAAAAAGATGTGAACATGTGTGGAAAAAAATCCATGAATGTTCAAAGGATGTGAAATATTTTAAAGTAAAAGCATCTAATAACACATATTTTGCAGTTTAAAAATGTCTTTCCCCTGACTGTCATTAGAGATGCTCATTTCCTGGCAGACTCCATTCAGAATTCAACATTCATCTGCATAAAGAAGTCACATATTATGCCTATGTGGGTTGCAAAACTGAAAAATATTCAAGCAATAAGGGATACACTTGTTCAACCCCAGGAATGTTATTTTGAAGTTGTCATGGCCCAAATAGAAAAGGTCTAGGGTTGCACTCCTGCCAATGTGCATTTTTGAAACATTTCCTGGGTTTAAAACGATGATTTGAAACACTGACAAGCACCCAAATCTCCATATTCCCAGCAAGAGGGCAAAGGTGGGGCCACCTGGGTGTGGCCATCCATTTAGATGTGCAGTGGTTTCCCAAAGACTTTGTCACCAAGTCTGTCCCTCAATCTGCTCCAGGTACCTGCGTGCTTTACAAGGTTGAACCATAAGAAACAATGCTGATCCTTTTCTCACAGAGAGAAATGCACGTACTGAAAGCATCCACATTGTAAATTTCTTAGAATTTCTCCTTTACATTGAGAAAACATGTGAGTTTAACATCTGATGAAGACTGCTGTGAATTCAAGAAAGCAATGACTCAAGTTTCACTTAGCACGCCTTTGGGTACATCCTTATTAATAATTTTAAAATAGTACAATTTCAAAAATATTTTATTTTACTTCATTTTATTTTATTCTATTTTATTTATCTTGCATCCCTGGAGATCAACCCCAGTGGTTTACAAATGCTAAGCAAGTGCTGTCACTAAGCTATACCTCTAGCCTTTTGTATGTTTGTTTGCTTTATTTAGTATTGTATTTTATTCTTCTTCTCAGGTAATTTTCAAAGTGAAAACAACCCAACTTTCCTTCCAAAACCACTCTCATGCCTGTAGTGTGCACTGCTGAGGGACCTCAGAAGGATGAGGCTCCTTGCCCTTGAACTTGACTCCCTGGGGAGGAGATGCATCATGGGTAAAGTGCAAATGCGCACCAGCTGTACTTGAACTGTGCTCACTTCCTGACGCCACCTGACAGCATCTCAGTTTCCCCTGTGGCACCAGCTCAGTGCTTGGCTCTGAGGCTGCGCTCTCACTTGAGGCAGGCACTCACTGACCTTTTGGTGCTTGTGCTGGAGATGGGCAGATAGTCCGTGACAGCGATGTACACGTACTGCTTGGCATCATCTATCACGCTGTAGATGGCATCAATGTCAAAGCTTCTGTTTTTAGGGCAAAAGAGTTTGGGAGAGTTCTGTGAAGACACAAAGACCAAAATGTTGGGGCATTAACTGTTGGCATGGAACCAAATTTTTGCAAACCTACTTTTTGTTTCCCAATTGGATTAGAGGAAGATATTTTTGTCTTACTGATGTTGAGGCATGGAGACCTCAAGGTTAGGTGCGATGGATCTTGAGTCTGTCCTTTCAGTCTGATTCAGGACAGAATTCTTGCTTTCATTACACACACCTCTCTGTGTGTGTAGTGGGTGGAAGGACTCCAGCCTTGACCTTGTACAGTTCTGGGAAACCCACCTCCCCCCTCATCCATAGCTGTTAATTTTCTTGATGGCAAGCAATTTATTCTAGATATTTCACTGCAGGGTTGATGTGACCATGAAAACAGTTGAGATACAGAATCTAAAACTTGTATTTTTCCCCCCAACACTTTCAGGAAGAGTAATGTTGCTTGTAGAAGAAGGTCATCAATAATCCTATGGAAGAAACTGAGTGAGTTATTTAGATGCCCAAATTCATCAAGCACCCTAGAGAAGAAGGATATTCTGCCAGGCTTCAGCAAATGAAAAAAAGGAGCAAACTGTGCTTGCAGTATTTTTTCATGTTGCTTGAAGTTTCCATCTTATAAAAATATGATGTTTTTAGATTCAGTTTTTATAGCAAGGGAAAGATGTACTTTGGTTTTTTTCATTATTTTTCCTTGGACAGAATTGGAGATAGTGTTCTCTACAGTTCCTGTCTTTCTTGGACATCAATATACTGTGGCAAGTCTGGAAGCACAAAAAATTCAACAAGTGTTTAATATCTAAAGGCTGAATAGATGGTTTTTGAAACTGTTCAGAATAAATGAGACTACTGGACAGTCAGAATCTTTGTCACTTCCGATATATGTCCTGTTCCACATTGGTAGTAATCCCCACCCTAGTCCATCACGAGCTGAAGTTACTGAAATGGATCCATGTGGTAAGAAAGGAGCATGCTGAGAGTCACCCTCCTTCTAGGCATCACTGTCCAGAAAGTCCTCTTGGTAGGCGATGAGCACTATGTGTTTTTGATCACTTATTTTTTTCTTTTGGAATGAAGATGAGCTTCCAATTTCAACGACAAGCAGGATATACATTCAAACATCGGTACGTGTTGGTCCTGTGCTCACTTCCCAGCACACAGATATACAGGTATCCATCTGTCACCAAAACATAGCACTTGCCTCTCCAGGGTTTCCAGGACAGGTCCTTCCCTCTTCTGACTGCCAGTTCTCTCACTCAGGCACTAGTGCCCTTTGCGGGGCTTTTTAACAACTTCCTAATCCACTGCCTTGTCTCCATCATGTTTGACAAACAAATGTGACTCTCAGGTTGAAATGCATCCTGTTCTCTGGGAATGCAGCCTGAATTCTCTGGAAGGAGTATATCCATGGCTGTTGCTCCACTGTCCTTATTTGCTGGCCACCATGGACTCTGTGTCCCCAGGTTGTAATAACCACCAGCCCATGGCTCTGTCCTCATCTTATCAGCCTCTGGGCACTTGCTCAGCTGGTCTCTCCAGCTGATGAGTTTCACCATTTTTGGCCACCAAGGTCCTATTGGTCCTGCTATCTAAATTCCAGCTCAAATATGATCTCTTCCAGGAGTCTTTTCTTCAGAACCTCAACCCCACATTGCCTGCCCCACCTCTGCACTCCTATACTATTTATGTCTTTTAACCATCATATTAAGCGTACAGTTCAATGACACTATATGCATTGAGAGTGTTGTGCAACCATTGTCACCATCCACCTGCAGAATTTACTTATTTAGCATATTCAAATTTATGCTACAATGACTTGCACTTACCTCCCCTCCTCAACTACATGTTTCTACTTATTTTAGGACTCTTAATTTCTTATATTCATTAAAAATTAAATATTAAAATCATTCATTTTCCTCAGTCTGCTGTGTCTACTTTAAACATGTTTCAGGATATCCTGGAGAAGCTAAGGATTTTACCTCTGGACAGTTCCTAGGCTAACTCTGAAATGTATCTAAGTACCCATGTTTTTATTTCTGTTAAAAGCACCCAGAATTTCATCACATGATCCCAGAATGGATTTTATTTGTTGGTGGCCTTTACTGTCTTATAACTAGAGGTCCAGAGGAAAGAGCAGGACTTTGGTGATATGGGCCAGATTCTAGCCCTTTAGCCTGAGACACTTTGGTGGTTTCCTTACACCTTGAGTCTCTGCTTCTTAATGGGGTAACAGTGATTTGCCTTTCATGCTGGTTTACCTTGAGGCTTTTCAAGAGAATGGTTTGTTTCCTGGCTGGGTCCTGTGCTCCTCTTCTGAGCTTGCTTCCATTCAGTTAGCAAAGATTCCAAGTGCCTGCCATGCTCTCAGTCCACATAGGTACCAGGCATGCATTGATGATCAACGCAGGGTCCCCCTTCTGTAGAGCTTTGGGTTAGCACATGTCACATGCTCTTGTGTTCTTTATCTACATCCTTATCTGCTGGTTCATGATAACCCATTTGGTTATCTCTTAGGCCTTATACCATGCAATATACCTTACACCATACCTTATAAAATGTGCTTAGTATGTGTGGAAGGAATGTGAAAGTGTTTCAGAGATTAATAAAAGTTGAAGGTTTGTCTGAACCCACACTCCAATCCCAGTTGGAGTTGCTTTATTCTAGATATTTCAAAACATATATGAACTGATGTTTGTCAGTGTTTATCTGCATTATTGTTTCCTAAGGTCCTCTGCCTAACACAATGCCTAGAACTTGGCATATGCTCCTGTGTTTACAGAGGAAGGTGTGTTTACTTACAACAAAGTCACTGTCCCTGAGAGCTTGCCAGTGATTTCTTATGTGTTCCAGAGCCTCTACCTTTATAAATAGTGCCTGCATGTGTTAGTGTCATACAAACTTTTTCAAGGTATAGATGAATAAAGTATAACACAAAAGAATAATCTAATACTCTGGCATAGGATTTTTAAAGTAGGAAATCATTATGAACTAAATAAAATTAACTAGTTCCAGGTGTACAATTAGAATGCACTCTAGAATAAATTTCCTGAGCATGGCAATATGTATTCTTTGTTTCACAGTGAAGTAGGAAAAGGAAAATACAGATCTTACTCTATATTTTAGCTCTGTGATAATTTTTTAGCAATCAAAAACTTTGGGCACTCCATTTCTGGGTTAATCTAGGTTCCTCTCTTAGATAAATAAGTGCCTTATATGTGCAAGTAATGTATTTTGCACATTCACTCAGTACTTTCGTTTTAAAGATCTTTTCATGTTTTTTTTATTTATTTCATAATGATTTCCTATTTTTTAAAAAGTCCAAACTCTAATTGCAGAATATAACATTAAAATGTAATTAAATATGAAAAGACCAGAATGGGAGAAAATACTTGCATATTACATATCTGGTCAAAGCCTTCCATCCAGAACATATAATGAATTTTTAACTCTGTCTTTTAGAAAACCCTATTTAAAACTAGGCAAAGTACTTGATAGATATTTCTCCAAAAAAGACACACAAATGGCCAACAAGCTCATTAAAACAGGCCAATGAAGACCACAATGAATTTCATTTCATATTCACTAGCAGGCTAAAATAAGGTAGAGTGTTGCTAAGAACGTGGAGAAAATGAAGCTTTCAAATACTGCTGGTGGGATTTTAAAATGGTGCAAATAATTTGGAAAACAGCTTGGTAGTTTCCCCAAATTCCCAGCTTGTACTCCCCAGCATAGAGTACAACAGTATTAGCAGTTCTACTCCTAAGTATAAACCCAAAAGAAATGAAAATAGTATTCAAATAAAAACATGTGCATGACTGTTCATTGTCGCACTATTCACATAGCCAGAGGGAAGAAACATCCAAATATTCCCCAGCTGGCAGTCACATAGACAATATGTGGCACATCTTATATGGGCATATGACTGGATAATGAAAAGAAATGAAGGAAGAGCTGAGGATGATGATACACATCTGTAATCCCAGCTTCTCTGGAGGCTGAGGCAGGAGGATCACAAATTGGAGGCCAAAGTGGGCAACATAGTGAGACCCTGTCTCAAAATAAAGAAATAAAAAGGGACATAGATGTAGCTTATTGGTAGAGCACTTGCAAGCACCAGGCCCTGTATCCAATCCTTAGTGCTGTTGTTACACACACACACACACACACACACACACACACACACACAGAAGACAGAAATGCAGGAAGCAGTGATACACAGCACAACAGAGATGAAATGAAAATGTTAGATGAAAGAAGGTGGTTGCAAGATTACATATTCTATTATATCACGTAGTTTAAATGTCTAGTAAAAGCAAACCCATACAGAGAAAGTAAATTAGTGGGTGCGAGGGGCAGGGAAAAGGGAAAATGGGGAGTTATGGCTCTTTATGGTAAAGAAAATATCCTAAAACTAGATGGTGGCAATGACTGAAAAGCTCTGTGACTATACTAAAACTCACTGAACCCAATATTTTACAAAAGTGTAAACTTTTTGATAAATAAATTAAATGTCTGGGGCTGGGGTTGTGCCTCAGTGGTCGAGCTCTTACCTTGCATGCACAAGGCCCTCGGGTTAAATCCCCAGCACCACACATACACACACACACATACACACACACAAATGTCAATAGAGCTGTTGAAGGTGTAATGAATAACACACACCGGAAGTCCTGGGGAGGAATGTAATATGGCATCTTCTTCCACAGCAGCATCAAGCTCTGTTCGACGTCTGTCCCTCACTAAATATATCGCAGTACATATGACTGATGGGTGAACAAACTGAATAATAAACAACAAGAAATGGAATCTGTCTAGCACCCAGATCAATAAAAATAGACCTTGAACTACTAGTCTTTGTTCCTGAAAGCAAGGCATATTTTTTTTGTTTTTGATTTTCAGAGGCATAATCATAAGGGCTTTGAAAAGAAATTTACATGACAAAAACTATCATTTTCACCTTCCAATTTCAATGGGAAATGCAAGAAAATTAGAATCATCTGGCCCCAAGTTACTAGAAATCACATAGTTAAATCTGTCCAAGTACCTATTTGTGGTCTATGAGAAAATTAGAAATAATCCATATTTATATCATAGCTTAAACTTCATATTTAGCTATGCTGTTCTCAATGATCTAAGAGTAATTTTGGGAATTGCTATTCTATGATCTTCAAATATTCTTTTCACATCTCCCAAATATACTTTTTGTGTTCAACTTTGTCTTGAGACCATCAACTTATAAAAAATACTACTTTATGATGTTTTACAACAAATATATTGAACTTAAATAAATTTGTCTTGGCATTTGTTTGGATTACACTACTGAAAAAAATGATCTGCATTCTGGAACTTTCCACTGGTATCACTGCTAATAAATCTAGCCCAAAATTTATGGCTGCTTGTAGGAAGCACTGACTGAATGAGATCCTGGGAATGCTAATGATGAAAACAATCTCATACATGATTGTCAGAGCAGAAAACAATGAGGAAGATGATTGCAAACAATTAGATATACAAATGTGATCAATGTTAGAATAGAGGTGAGATCAGGGAGTTCAATTCCAGGAGCAGGAGTTTCCTGACTTTTACTTAACACCTGTAGGATCTTATAACTTTCCTAAAATAGTTTTCAATCAATAACCTGTTGAATTGAAATTTAAAGGTAGGTTTCATATTATTATTAATAGGAAATACAAAATGAAACAAGAAATGAAAATAAAAAGAGAATGAAAACATCACACAGTATAAAAGAATACCAAATATATATATTTTGCAGCTCATTTTGTAGTTATCTCTTGAATAACTTCAAAATAGCCCTAGAGTACCACAAAAGCCAGGCAGTTTAGTAGGTTTTGCTAAAGGCCTGAGACCTCTCTTGGTGGTAGATATGTTAATCTTAAAATTAACAGAAGACCCTTCCCCTTTTCAAGCATCAGAATTTAAAATTATGCAGCAACCTCATTCACTTACTTCAAAATCCAGTGATTATCCAAAATGGGCTCATTGGTCCCTCTCTCCCTCCCTCCCACCCTCCCTTCTTCTTTTTCCTTTTTCTCCCCTGCCTTCCTCCTTTCTGCCCTTCCCTTCCCTCCCTAACCCCTGCTTCTCCCTGCTTTCGTGGCTCTGGGAATTAGACCCAGGGCCTTGCATACATTAGGCAAACACTCTGCCACTGAGCTATATTCCAGCCCCAAGTCCTCTATTTGATGCTGCTTCCAGTCTGCTCTGCTATACCCCTTGCTTAGGCTGGGGTGTCATGTCATCCTGTTTTCTATTGCTGCTCATATAGAAAAGGAAATACTATCGGCCTTCTGGCCTTACAGGTTGCCTTCAGATGCAATGAAAATGTATATATACACAAGATAGCTGAGATAATTGTACTACTAATTTCTATTAGTTCATTGATAGGAACAGTTAGAGCTTATATTGTCCAATCAATTTTGCATGCCTACGTCTGATAATCTGAGCAACTACTTTGATGATAACAATATACAATATAACAACCATTGTTAATTTCCTATCATCTTGTTTTGAAATTCTGTATCATTTTTATTGTTTTTGCACTTTAAAAAAAGAAAAGAAAATGCATGTATGACATAATTTTGTTAATAAAAGGCCACTGCATTATGCTACTTGCTACTACATTCTAGACTACACTTTAAAAATTTATTTGAAAAAAGACTTCTTAAAGTTCTATTTGATGTTCAAGAAATGCAAATGCTGAGATTCCACATCACCCTAGAAAGAATGGCTATTATTAAGAAGTCAACCAATAACAAATACTGGCGAGGCTGTTGGGAAAAAGGAATCTTCCGCTGTTGGTAGGAGTGTAGACTGGTGCAACCACTGTGGAAATCAGTGTGGAGATTCATCAAAAAACTAATGTACCAATAAACTTAAGTAAGAAAAAAAATAGAAGTAGAAGTTTCATTCAACCCAGCGATTTCCTTTCTTGGTATTTTCCTGAAAGAATTAAGAGCATCGTACCACAGTGATATATGCACACCTGTGTTTATACTGGCACAGTTTATAATAGCTAAAATCTTTGAGACAACCCAAATGCCCATCAACTGATGAATGGATGAAGATGTGTGTGTTTTTTTAATACAATGGAGTACTATTCCACCATAAAGAAGGATAAACTTGAGACATTTCTAGCTAAATAGATGCATCTTGAGATCATACTTTTAAGTGAAATAAATCAGACAAACATGTTTAAGTACCACATTGTTTCTCTGGTATGAGAAATTGAAAGTGTAAATAAGGACCAAAATATATAATAGATATTTTAAAATAGGAAGAAAATGTTCAAATGGGAAGGGGAACTAGGGGGGGAGGAGGGGAAAGGAAAGAAGGGAAAAGAAAAAATGAGAACAAAGGAAAAATGGAAACAAAGCTTTTATAAATAGGGAGGAGAAGCAGAGTTTCAGGGAGGGGAGGGGAATGGGAAAAATCAATGAATCAAGTTATACCATATACAGGTAAAAATTCCCTATGATGAGTGTAATCATTATATATACCTAAAATGTACCAATCAGCTTAATTAATAAATTCATTGGTAAAATAAAAAAAGTTCTATTTGATGAAAATCCTTCATAGGCCATCTAGTGCTTTCGCATATATGTGAATTTGTTATTTAAGGCAAACAACTTCAACTTGCTTTTTCCCCTCTAGTAGTGCTTTTCTAAATGTTCAGATTGTGCTTTTATGTGAATAGGCAAAAAGGCTATACATGCAGTTCACTCTCTGATATAATGCTCATTAGTGACAGAAAAGTTGTTGGCCTAAGAACACTGATACCAACCAAAAGAGAAATAGCAATATTTGTATTTGTTGGAAGCATGGCTTAGAGATGTTTCTCTGAGCCCCAGGATCAATCCAGAAGGTTAATTTCAATCAGACCTTTCAAGTCTCATCCCAGATGCAATGGATCAAATCTTAGGTGGGGTGGGTAGAAGGGAGAAGTGTAACTCTGCATTAGAACAGGCTCCCTCTGGGGTTTTAGATACTGAAGTTTCAGGACTGGGGCTGCCTCTTCCCAGCAACTGCAAGAAGCTGTGGGGTGTGTGGGGGGGTGGTGGACCAGGAAATGAGGGTGAGGCGGGGGGTGGTGGTGGTGGTGGTGGGTGGGTATTGGATTTCAGTGGAGTCAGAGTCTGAGACGCTCAGGGCAGGAAGCCTTGTCCTGTGGAAGGACCTTTGCCTGCTGGTCGCACACAAATACAGTAGCTCTGCACAGGTCTGTTTTATACACCAAGATCCCCTGTGATACTTCTCATCAAAGAAATATACTGCTAAAACCATCTGGGAATCATTGATGTATGGCATGGAAAACAGGCTAATCTTTGCTAATGGGCTAATCAAAAGACCTTGGTAGTGGTGCCTTTCTTTGCACTTCCTGTGTGATGGATTTTGTGTGAAAAAAGTTTTGATATCTTTATCTGTAGAATGGTTACAATCCCCTTCGCACCTTATGAGATAATTGTGGGGATCAAACCAGGTTTTCACTGGGGTCAGCACATACATGAGCAAAAGAGAGGACACATTTTAATTCTTCAAGGGGTGAGATAGAATCAGTCTACCTAATTCTTTTTTGCTCAACACAAGATCACACTGAAACACTGCAACTTAATAAAGAGACTTTGGAGAAGGAAGAGAGGGATGGCAGGGGGAAGAGGTGGACAACTCACCGACACAAATGCTTGAGATTTGGTTTCGTTCAACTGAAGTTGCAATTTCTTTTCATTGTCATAAACTCCATAGAGTCTCTTGGACCAGGTCTGAGGTACTCTGCTCTTGAATTTTAATGAACTGTATAAAGCAAATATCCTTTGTAAATCTAGGACCAGGCAGCTGCAGTTGTAGAAGATGACACCGAGCTCTTTCATCTGTGAATTAAAATCGAAAGCATCAATGTAATGTGCCGCTGATGGTGTTAATTTCAGAAAAAATGCATAAGGAAGCAATACTGGTGACATCCTTTTTCATGCATTTGTTATTACACGGAAGAATGGAGCTACAATCATATTATAGTATATAGAAGAGATGTGTCAAAATTTTTAAACAGAACTTTTGCTTGTTTTTGTATTTAGGTTCTTACAGATTAGTTCCGCATAGTATTCATCTACATTTTTTTCCACCATAGGCCCTTCAGATTTGTTTCCTTAACACTAGTACTTTTAAAATTTTTTTTCATTTTAAAGAGTAAAAGAAGGATAACATAATAATAGGGGGGGGCTTACCAAATTACAGACAAAGTGGTAGGAAATTATCAATGGTTATTGTTTTACATATTGTTATCTACAGGATAGTTTCCCAGGAAAACAAATAGACAAATAATAGTGAACACTAGTATTTTTTGTATGGATCCTTAAATCATGCGGCAAGTCAAAGACTGACTGTAAACTGCAACATAACAGAAGGGTTACAGTCATGGCTTCTGGTCATGTTGCCTGGAATTAGGTTCCCAACTTGACAAATTTCCAGCTACGTGGCTTTGGGCATCCTATTTAATCTCTGGAACTGATTGTCTTTTTCCATAAGCTGGAGTTGAAAGCATTTATTTCATACAGTTATTTTGAGACTTAAGATGATTAATGCACATAAAGGAACAGAGCTCATTGCCTGGTAATCACAAAAACCATAGCAGTTATTATTTTTACTAACATTGCACAGACCTTAAGAGGAAAGGACCAATAGAATGTTGCAACAAAAAGATCTAAGAGATTATTCCATCCACTTCCCTCAATGCATACATATGTGCACTAATGAGGGAAGTAAAGCTCACACAGATAAATAAAAATACAAGTTGGAGATCGAATCAGTAATAAACAAGGGCTCTGAATGCAGATTTTCTCATTCCCAATCAAAAGTAGCCATGAACATAAGTGCATAGGCTCCTTTGAGTACCGTTTCATGAGGCTGAATCACTAAGCAATTGGTTAACATAATAGTTCCTCACATCATCAGCTGTGTGGCTTTGGACAAGCTAAAGAGCTTTTCTCCAGGGAAGAAGCAAGAAGTGGTCCCTGATATGTGGTAGTTGGCATGTAACTCTCAGTGATATCTTGTACTTCCAGGAACTCGCCACACACAGCGAGGCCTGGACCTCCTGTTCAACCATTCCACCAAGCCCTGACATCAGACAGGGTCACTCTGTGACCATCCATGATGGTTCCAGACACAAACAAGACCATGTTGTAATCATGACTAAAGACACACACAAACATGAATGCTATTCAAGCTACCCTAAGGTCCAAACATCTCACGGCCTGGCTCACAGGAGTGACTGCTGTTTCTTTACTAATTGTAGCTCAGTTCCACCTCCTTCTTACTCTCCTACAAATAAAACTTATTAAGATACCCTATCATAGAATTGTCCACACTTCCTAACAACATCCAATTCTGACCAAAGCCCTCATCCTTAACCCCCCAAATATATGACACAAGCCCAGATCCCGTCATACATCCTAATCCTGCTTCCTAAGATACCGCACAGCTCCCATGGTGTTACTTCCCCCTTGTCCTATGGAGCAGGCGTTCGGTTTCCTTCTTCTTCCTGTCCTGCAGTGGGAGGACAGGGACACAGCCTCATGCTACACCATGTCACAGTGTAACAGCCCATGGTCACCAGCACTCAATTTACTGATCTAGTCTATCTTTAGCTGTTTTTTAGACAGAAATACTAAGTACTCAGTACTATTCCAAAGGAAACCAGAAGTTGCTCAGATAACAGAGAAGAGGTCCTTTAGGGGAAATGACCAAGGAAAGGCAATAATAATGACATGTGCAGACAGGAATAAAGAAGGGCTGTACTTTGAGATGAGGCTTTTCCTTTTATGCAGGTTTTTTTTTTTTCCTCTTGGGTACCAGGAATCAAACTCAGGACCCTGCACTTGCCAGGCAGGTGCTTATGCCACTGAGCTATACCCTCCAGCCCCGAGGCTTTTCCTTTTAGAACCTAAAGCTAAATAGTACTCCTGAATGATTTTGAACATAACTGTCCTCTGGTCTCCACTTCTGTTGTAGAGCTCATTTTGGACATTTACTATAACATACCTTAATCTGGAAATCCGGTGACCTGAATCTTCAAAAACTAATGTATGAACAACTGGAAGTATAAAATAAAAATGCTTATTTAATGGTAGCTATTTCGGTTTGTGTCTGGGTGTCCCCCCAAAGCCTCATGTGGTCATGCAGCAGGCTTTTAGAGTTTGACTGATTATGGGTGTGAGAGTTACACTGGCCCTGGGGCAGATAGTTTTGCATATATAAGGGGGAGAAAGAAGCTGCTTGCCCCCACTCCTCCTTTTTGCTCTTGTTGTTTTTGCTGTGTTCCGTCACTATGAACTTTTGCTCTCTGCCATGTGCCACTCTGCCTTGTAACCAGCCGAGTATGGACTGAAACCTCCATAAACTGTAAGCGAAATAAAGCTTTCCTTTCTTCATTTTGGGCATTTGGTATTTTGTCTCAGCAAGGAGAGAAAAGTAACCAACACAGTAGCATAACAGTGAGTCCTGCTTGATCTTTCAGGGTCAGATGGAGGGAGTTGTAGTTAGGAACATTAATCGTCTCCAAGATGCTCTGTACACACCATTTGTCATTATCAAGGTGCAAGCAGACACTTTTTCTGTGCCTTCTCTCTAGGTTTTTCTCCAGCTACTAATATTTCTAATAAATTTATTCTAAAGAAAAACATAGCGTTCCCTTTTCCCCAGCTGTGTAATCTCAGTGTCTCATTTGTGAGCTTTCATATGCAGTGGATGACACCGCTCTGTTCTGTGGCTGACTTACAGCTTTGGGATCGGAAGGCAAAGGAGGAAGCCAAGCCTGGCCCTTAGAGAGGCAAAGAGAATTAAACTCCCTCGGAGGATATTCCTCTTGGCCTCAGAATGTCTCAGACCCATTTCTGGTCATACATCCTTGATTCAGGCTGCCATTGAAGATGGAGAAATGAAACTGGCTTTTGTTTTCCAGAGTTTTCATCCAGAGCAAAGACAAGGTTCAGAACAGGTTTAAGAACAAACCTTCTTAAAATGTTGATAGTGGGAAGAATAAGAGATTTGGGTTTTCTGGTGAGTCTCCACATGTAGATTATCACGGGAAAAAACCAAAGGTCTGACTGATAAATGGAAACATTCTCAATGTTGTCTTAGCAATAAGACACACCGTGTATGGACCAACATCCTTCTGCCTAGTGACAGACTGTTCAATGCCGTCCAGCCTCTGTGGCCGCCCGGTGACCCCAGGCACCCTGCCAAGGTGGTCCGGAGTTCTGAGAAACCACACAGCTGATCCATGAAGTCAGAAATGAGTGAAATTGATGGATTAAACAGTCCAGCAGTAGAAATAAAGTCATCTTGAAAAAGCGTGGCATTTACCAGCTAATTATTCTTTGGAAGAAAAAAATTCTTAGGAAGAGACAAATGTTTTCTCTACAAAGTGGGTAAAGTGTTAGTGCTGAACCCAAGGAACTAAAAGAATCTTAAGGCATCCAAAAACTGTAGCACCCTGCCAGGAAGCTGTTGTCGGCACAATTATTTTGCTTCAAACTCTAGTTGTAGCAATGGTTTGTTACTCTGTGTGCTTTGCACTGGGACATTACAAAATGCAGGAGACTCAAAGTGTCTTTATTCTCTTCTACAGGGTGGTTTAGGTATCAGAACAAAATAAGGATTGGAAAAAGCATGTAATTACCTTAAAAACAGTATTTCCATTTATTTTTTTTCTCAAAAATAGTGGAAGGTGGTTAACACAGGTAATGGGGTGACCGGAGGAAGGGGTTCTTTTTTGGCTAGCACAGAAGGCAGCATAAAAAAGGCAGGCCGGGTCTGATGCAGTTTATTGAGGAAGCAAAGCCAGAGCAGGTGTCTGTCTGATGGATGCTCTCATTGGCCTGAATAGGGACAGGAAAAGCCTGAGCATCATTCCGTGCTGTAATTCAGGATAATTAATACCACTTAGCTTAAGCACAGCTCAGCTGATCATTTACACATGTCCAGGCTGTTGTTTTCCTGATTTTATAGAAATGTGAACAAGCATTTCTTTAATGTTCTTGACAAAGACAAAAGAACCTGCAACTGTGAGTGACTCACATGCATCCAGTTAGCTGCTGATTTATATTCCGAGTTTCTGCAGGAAATTTAATTATGAAGAACTCTAACTTCATTTTATTTCTGCCCTCCAGGTGAAAATTTTGTTACTGAATAAAGAACTGAATCTTGGAAGCTCAAAGACAGCTTCCTGCTCAGAGATGTACTTGCGTGCCTGCCCTTTCACTCCCTCAGTGGGTGGTTTCTCCCACTTAACTTACTGATGTCTTATTTTCTGTGTCTACCAACTGGGAATAATAATGCTTACAGAGGGAATATGACTAGCTGAAGAGACAGAAGAGGGTCTAAGAAGCTCGGAGAAGAGCTAGTTCAACCTTATTTCATAACTAAAGATCCTGAGGACCCAGAAGGGGAAGTGATTTATCACAGAATCATGACCTATGGTTTTGGGTCCTGGGCTCCTTTGTCCAGTAGTGCTGGCCAGATAGTGTACTTGGTTCACTTATAGGAAAAAGGAAAAGCATATCATTTTGCTCAATGCCTACCTGACACTCATGCTCCCCTTCCTCCCTCCCTCCTTCTCTCCCTCCCTCCCTCTTTCTCACCCTCCCTCCCTCTTTCCTTCCACATTAATCAATGCTTCATCTTTTATAAGGATCTGAAAACTTTCTAAAGTGCCATTACTGATCTGGCACCTTTGATTTTTGCTATGAGGATTTCTTTCTTTCTTTTTTTTTTTTTTTTCTGGTACTGGGAATCAAACTCACGACCTTGCACTTGCCAGGCAGGAGCTGTGCCACTGAGCTAAATCCCCAGACCCCTGGTACGAGGATTT